TTATCCTGTCCGACCACTGCCCATCTTTAGTTTTCTTTCAACGTTTCTCCAGAGCGCCAAACCTCAGAGCGCCAGCCACAGAGACAAATGTGGGCTGGATGTCATCGTCCCGGTTGACCCTCCTGAACGCCTCCCCAGGCCCCAGCCTAGACCACCTTTTGAGGCATGTATCGGAATTAAGTTAGGCGCAAACCCAAACTCGCCCCGCTTTTCTTTGGCTTGATGCATAGGATTCTAAATAAACTCCGAATTCGGTCCGTAAAGACTCTAGGCGAGGTGCCTCCTCCCAACTTCCCCTAAGCACGAAACCTTACGAGCCACGCTCCACACTCAAAATCTTTTCTCCCTTTCTCTTGCGGGGTCCCTCGTTTAAACAGCGTCGGCGCCTTTATTCGCCTGACCCTGTGCGCAGGAAAACCCGCCTGGTCGGTCATTGTCTGGTCCGCGACTGCCCCCGCCCCCGCCCCAATCAGTGTCACAAAACGCCCCTTTCAACAGATTCCAAACCCTCTTCACCCGGGCTCACCGAGCCTTCAACTTCATTAAGTGCGCGCTGCGGCGGCGCTGGAGGAGGCGAAGTTTAAATAAACCGGAGCGGAGAGGGAGGAGGGGTGGGCCTGGGGAGGGTTGCTAGTTGAAGGGGGGAGAAAGAAGTGTTTTTGAAAAAGGGAAAAAAGTCATCAGGGAAAAAGCGCTTTGTAACCACGAAGACGCGCCCGCTGTGGCGAGAACAAATTGGATATGGAGGGGAAGTGTCCGCCCCCACCTCAACTCCGGCTCCTGGGTGGTCCGAGGAGCCCCAGGAGAAAGAAAGAAAGATGGGGAGGAATAAGCGGTGAAAAGAATTAACCGCTTTAATTGGGCTGCAAAAGAGAAGTGCGGAGAGGCTTACCGATGTGCTTCGATCACCCAAACCAAATACCCTTCAATAAAATAAAATGTCTGCTCTTAGCGGCGGCTGAAAAACGTATGTTGAAGTTTCAGAATCAAGGCTGTTCCTCACAGCCCTGGAAAGTAAATCTATAAGATGAGGGAAATTCGCCCGGAAAGACCCCCTCCCCTTCCTTGTGGCCTCGGGCCTCCCGGCGCTGGATGAAAAGGAATGAAATTGAACGAAATTGAACGAAATGAAGTGAAATTGACCAGTGAAATTCGCCAATTTTCTTTCCCTTTAAACTGCCAGCTCTCAGCAGCACTCTGAACCCCAGGCCGATTTTCTACCTTCTTTTTTTTTCTCACCTTCGAGAGATGAAGGTATGCCCTGAATATTTTCTTATTATTGTCACTGATTGTTGGGGCCTGCAGGGCAGCAGAACCTCAGTTGCCTCCACCCAAGCACAGAGGCAACCTACAGGAGCCCCTCCAGATGGTATAGCCTGTTTCTCCTCCCAGGATGCCTAAGTGAGCCTCCTTAAACTGAACACCCACCCTATGCACCCATAGGTTGGGAGGGAGTCACCCATTAGGCCCTTCCAGTCAGGAGGAATTAAAAAACATATAGGAGGGTTCTACCATACAAATCCTGAACTCCCTCATCCTTTGCCTTGAAGTCCAGATCCCAAATGGGCTCTTCCCAGTTCCTAACAGGTTCCCCAGAAAGACAACCTAAAGGAGCCCCAAACTCTAAATACCCTCCCTTCTTCTCTGCCATAAGCACCTGGAGTCTTGGGAGCTCCCGCAGCAATTCCCTTTCTGGGTATTTTTCAAGGCCAGTTGGGCATCAGTGGCTTCTGACTCCCAGTCCTCAGACCACAATCTTCTCTGGCTCAGGTCTACCCTTCTTGGCCCACTGAGAAAGTGGCGTTTGAGTCATGGGTCTGGGGCTCCAAGATCCCTAGAAGCCCTATAAGGGTGCATCTCACTCTTGTTCCCCAGTCCTCTTTTTCCTACCTTTTCCTGATATGGCTCCTCCAATACACAGACACCAAGCAACATGCTCAGATAAATTCTCTCTCTCTCTCACACACACACACACACACACACACACACACAAAAGGGTCTGCTGCTTCTCCTATAAATAGCAGTTGTGGAATTATCTCATCTAACTATCCACCATCAGACATAATTCTGGCTGACTTAATTTTCTCCTCTAAAGAGGAAAAACCAATTAATAAATATTTTACATAAAGCTCCAATCTAATATCTGGGAGTGACATATTCATGGTGAGGTCACATAGCTACAAAGTGCTTTACTGAGAGCGCGTGCGCGCACACACACACACACGCGCGCTCACTTGTGTGCGTGCATGTTCCTTCAGTCACAGTCACCCTTCCTCAAGTGAAAATAAACGAAATTAAACTCGGAGAAATTTAAGTAAATGAAGCAACCAGCCAGAGACCATCATCCCAGTATCAGCAGCTGTTTCTCCCTTTATACTATCCAATCTAACCTTACTTCGCCTGGACCATTTGATAAACGGTGGGAAGGTGGCCCACTCCATTTGACCTCCCTCCACTTCCACAGTCTCTCAACAAGGAGAGGGTTGCCTTGCCTCTGGCAGAGGGACTGCGTCTACTATATGCACCTTGAGCCTCATCTCTTTCTTCTCCACTGGTGAAGGCGATGAGAGACTTGGGAATCCCAAACAACCCTTCCCCAGCTCTGGTGTGTTCTTCCCACCCTAATCCTGATTTTGACACCCTTTCTACAGTGGTCTCAGTCCTCCACCTCCTCCTTCTTTTCTACTATTGCCAGCTGCAGGGATCCTAGCTGAAGAGGCCTGTGTGGCTCACCCCTCTCAAGTTCCCTGCATCTGGGTCTCTGACCCTGTCTTCTTCCTTCTCTGTCTGTCACTTCATCTCCCAACCCTTGCCCTCAACATGTGTCTGTTTTCTGTGAAGGCTACATTGCCTCTTCTTGCACCTCTGTTTCTCCTCTCCTATTAATCTCACTGGAATATACAGAGAAAAGAGCTAAGCAGTCATCTCTGCTTCACCAAAAGATCATCTCTCACTCAACACAAGTCTGGCCACTGGGAGTCCTGGGCACAAGCAGAGAAATGGGAGGCTCAATGGGTTTATGGAAGACTCCAACAAGACCAATGGATTTGCACTCAGGCAGTAGCTTCCAGCTATGAGTCTGGCTCAAGGGATGAGAAGTTTTACCTTGAGTGTAACCCCACTGACTCATTCATCTCACAGTGAATGAGCAGCTCATGGTGCCCCTCTAACCCTCTCTGGAGGCTGGAGGAAAGAAAGGTTTCACAGTCCTCAGTCCAAGCCTTTTACTCTGTTACTGTGTTGGGGGGTGGCGGGGGGAGAGGGGATTCCAGACAAGGCCCTAAAGCGGCCAGGGAGAAACCTCTCCTCTCAGAGACAGAAAGACAGGACTGAGAATCGCAAACATCACAAAGACATGTTCACCGACATACATAGAAATAAAAATGCAGATATTCTGAAATACAGTTCACACACACACACACACACACACAGGACAAAAAAGCAAGCAGCTGTGCCGACCCAGACAAACACAAAAACGAATCAAAAGTTCCATAAAAGCCCTTCACTCAGAAATAGAGGCATACGGAGTACACATCACCAGACATATTCACCTTAAATTGTACTTAGTGGGTAGAGTGTTCATGAACCCTTAGCACCCAGATCTGCCCAAGCTGTGCCAACATCCAAACTAGAAGGACATGAGAATCCTCAGGTGCACTGGAAACACAACCTCAGGCAAAACTCCAGCCAAAAACCTTCTTAAAACTAGAACGAAAATGAAAGTGCGGGAGAGGCCACAGGCTTCCCAGAGATTCGGCCTCATTAGCAGCTGAAGGCCAAGACTAAAGTGCCCCTTGCATCCTCTAAGCTCAAACCCTTCTCTGCCTGCGTGGGCTGCCCAGGGGCCTTTCCTCACTCCCCCTCTGCTGGGGAGCTAAGCTTTTCTGGGAGAGCCCCATTAGGGGCCAGGGAGAGTGCAGGCAAGCAGACAGAGCTGGTGACTGCTGAAGTTCACATACATTTATTCAATTGACACCAATGGGGAATAGGGGGTAGACAGATTTTTCTTTTCTTCCACACAGACCATCAGACGATTTCACAGAGTTTCCCCACAGTGGAGAAGTTTAAATCAATGCACACCCAGTGGACAGAGAACGCCGAGCAGCCCGCTGTACAGATATTTACATAAAATTACAGGACCCCCTGCCACAGGGTGTGCCCTTGCCCACTCCAACCCCACCTCTCCAGTCCCTGGCCCAGACCCTTCTCTTCCACCCAATCTCATTGCCTTTAGCCACAATAAATATCACAGGGCCTGGGACAGGGTGGAACACTGACAGGGTTGCTGGTCGGGGATGGCTGGACCCAGCCAGTCAAGGGAAAGGAAAAAAATTCCTTTAAAAGCACCCAAACACAAAAGAGAAAGGATTTTCCTCAGTGGAGTGGGATCCAGGGTTTCTGCTGGGAATATAAAGACCCCCTGCTTCACCTCTCCGTTCCGCTCCGCCTGCGTAGACACTGGTTTAGGCTTCAGAGGAAACGAACTTCCTTGGAGAACAGCAAAAAAAAAAAAAAGTTGAATTTTTCTTTTAAGCACAAAGCAGATAATAGATGTCTTTAAATTATAATATTGGACAAGCCGGGTCTCAACGTTGGGGAAGAAGTGAGAGGGGAAAGGCAGAAAGGGAGACCCTCTGTTGGTGTTTCTGGCGGGATCCGTGGAGCCTGGTCAGGCATCTCTCCGGGAATGTGTTCGCCGAGAGGCGCAGAGGCAGGGGAAAAACGAAGCCCCCACCCCCCTGCTTTTATTTCTCAAACTGTAAAGGATCTTGGCCTGCGACTTCTTCGCGTAGCCCCGGGCCTGTCGCCCTCAACGATAGAGCCCGCTTGGTCCCAACTATCTGCGAGATTCTGTGCGTGGAGACTGAAGTGCCGAGTCACGCGTGCCGGCCCAAGGTCTGGAGACTTCATAAATAGACTCCCTGAGTTCCGCTGGGACCGCAGAAGCTCCCGGGAGAGGCTGAGGAGTGCGGACCTAACCGGCCCTGGGCCTGCTGCGGTCAGAAGTGGCAGCCACTAAGGCCGGCGACTTTGCTGGCAAACGGGGACCCTGAGGACAGCAGCGCGTCCCCGGGATGCGAGAGGCGAATGTGGCCCGCTACCGGAGCCAGGGCCGGAGCAGTCAGCATGGCCAAGACCTGGGCTTGGCCCCCAGGACCCGCG